GGGTTGGGGGGTGGGGGCGTGCAGGTGGGACGAGGAGGAGCAGGAGGAGGGGCAGGAGGAGCATCAGCGGCTGCGGGAGGTGCTGCAGCATCGGGACCAGAAGGTGAGCTCCTTCCTCGAGCTCCACGCCGAGCTGTTGCGTACGCCCCCCGCCCCGCCACATGATCATCGCGAGCCACCTTCTTCCCTGTGTCCGGTCCCCCCACATTCATGCTTTTCTTCATTTCTTTGGCTGGCTGGCTGGCGGGCGGGGGTGCAGAGGTGGAGCGGGAGCTGGAGGAGGCCCGGCGGGCGAGGGCAGCCGAGGAGGAGGCCACGCGCCGTTTGTGGCGCCAGGCCAAGCCCGCCACGCGCGGCCGCGACGACGACGACGACGACGGCGACCAGGGGAAGCAGCAGCGGCGGCGCGAAGAAGACGACGACGGCGATGATCGGATGGAAGAGGGCGAGGAGACGAGGATGGTCGGGCGGGCCACGGGGAGGCGGGCAGTGGCGGCGTTGCAGGAGGCCGAGGCCGAGAACGCGCGCCTGCGGGAGGTGTGGCAGGCCCTCATCCTCGAGAGCGGCCTCAACTGGGCCGCCGACGAACAACTGCGCGACGTCCTCTTCCGCCTCCAGTCCCCCCTCGCCTTCCTCCACGTCCCCGGCCCATAGCAGATGATGACCACGACGATGACGATGAACAACAACAAGAAGACGACGTTGACGATAAAGAACAAGAGAGTAAAGAGAAGAAGGTGTGTATAACTATTAGTAACACGTATCACCTTGTTGACGTAGGCTGGAAGGTAATGATGATGATGATGGTGGGCAGCAGCCTGGAGAGGAAGTGTTACAACCCAACTCAACTCGAACGCACGACGTCTACAAGAAGTCTTGGAGGAATGTGAAGCATGCCAGACAAGACGAAGATGAATGGTCATGAAATGAGGAAAAGGAAAGAGAGACAAAAAAGACAAGACAGAAGACCCATCAACAACCAATCTATATCATAAAATAACTCTTCTCAATCACAGAGCACCTTATCACACATGTTATTGTACCTGCAAAACATCCCCCATTTCAGAAGATGCAGTAATGGGGGGGGTAGGGGGGCTTAATCCTCACTTCTAGAGGAAGTGCACAGAGAGGCCAACCTGGAAGGGCTGGATGAGGTTGGTGGCAGCCTTTGCAGATCAGATGGGAGGGGTTGAGTCAACACAGCCAAACATGGTGCGCAGCACCAGCCCCACACCAACCACCACTCACACATTGTCCACCCAAAACAGGTACTGCACATTGGCCACCACCAATCAACCTGCACCAAGGCTGCACACACACAGCCACACAACTGTCACCATCAAGGGGATATGTGTGCATGTAGTGGGATGATGTGGAGGTGTGTCATGTGTGTGTGTGTGTGTCATGTGTGTGACTAACTACCTCAGTAACTGAAGCATCAGACCCCTTATGGTGTCTTCTATGACATTTTGCATGTCCCCTGTACACAAAGATATTGCCCAGATGTTGTCATCCTTGGTTCTCACAGCTGCAGTTGCCAAAAAACAATAATTAGTGTGGGATCTGTATGCATGGAGGTCACCAAAGTAGCTGATCATGAAATGCAGTGGGCAGTTGACCTGCGCCACTGCTGTCTGCACCATGCTCAGTGATATTGAAAAGTAGATGCCTGTCTGTGATCACCATCAGATGCATGGCACACATGGCACACACACAACCACAACATGCACGCCAAGGAGGTGGGAAGAGAAAGGGGGTCTCTTGCTAGTTGTTGGTTGGAGCTGATAATGGAGTCAAAGTCTCTGCACACAAGGCACAAGCTGGCCAGGTGGGCCTATCCAATAAATGAAACAAATAAAAACAACAGTGAGTAATAAAGAACTAAATAACTAAATGAAGTTGTATTGTAAATGGGAGTGGTCAGCCACACACAGTAGTTGAGGTATTGAAAGATGAGGTCCCACACTTCATGTGGAAGGGAATTGCTTGGCATAAAAAAAAAGATGTGTTTGGGTGGCCTCTTGCAGTGAGTTGCATATTTATGTGAGCTCACTTGGCGGACTTATGGTTCATATGTCTTACAGGGGGCCAGTGGTCTGGTGGCCTTGCATGTGGCATCTTAACACTGGAGTGGAGGAAAGGCACAAGCAGTAGGGAGGAAATTCCCACACTCCCAAAACATGCTTGGAGATAATAGTGGAAGAGCCAACATGTTGGAATTCAACTTCATTCTACACATTCAGCATTGCAGCTCTCAGCCAACTCAGTAATAACTTCAAGAGGAAATAGTTGTGGAGTGTGAGCACTTTTTGGAGCAAGAGAATATTTCAAGTACCTTGAGGAATGGAAGTGAGGAGTTGATACACCTCAGACCATTCTCCTTGGGTGTGGTCAGCCTTGTCCCTAATCACTGGTGTCCTGGAGGAATCATGGAAGAAATGGAAAACATGAGGGGCAGAATGGCTGGTTAGACCATGCATGTGATTAGAAAGCCAACTTTTCCAATCCCAAACAGTCTCAAGGTTGGGGTGGTTACCTTGCTGCAGGAAAACAGGCAATTGCCTGCAGAGGTGAAAGTGAAGTGAGAAGTTGAAGGCATGTTTGGAGTAAAGATTTCAATGTGCATTGCAAGTTGTCAATGAAAAAGAATTCTGATGTGCATCAGTGGTTGTCAACAAAAATTCTGATGTGCATCAGTGGTTGTCAACAAAAATTCTGATGTACATTGGAAGTTGTCTACAAATAATAATTTAGATGTTGTCAACTTTCCAACTGGCTGCTCACTTTCCTCTCCAAGTTCCTCACCAATGCTGACCTCAACACCCTCTGCACTGACTTGGAAGCACTCTTCAAACATCCTGGCTTCAACCCTCTGCCACCCAAGCACTGCTTCCAGCTCCTCCACTTCCTCCTCTTCATCTGTACAGGCTGTAGGGTGAGACAGGTTAGTAATCATACACATGAGCAATGTGTCACAGCAATAAATAATGTCATACTGTGTCAATGCAGATTGGTGAAAGCCATCATCTGGGTCAGCCTGTGCTGATCCCAGTGGTGAGTAGAGGCATAGATGGAGATGTTGCAGTGTGTTGAACTGCCCAGTCATTTGTGTCTAAATTGCATTGATGGGTCCAGCACCAGGAGAATTTCAAGGTCACCTGTAGACTTTGAACAGCCAGCACATTGAATTCAAGCTGACACCGACATTTGCCCATGGAGCAATATTGCTTGACCTTGCTGCTGGTGTCCAATTCAACAGACATATGCAGGGTCACATACAGCACAATTTCGTGTCCTCTGATGCTTCCCTGGAGAGTGCAAATCTTGTAAAAAATAGCAAGATCAAAGAAGGTGACATCAAGAAGGAAGAGGATGAGGTTGTGGAAGCCAAAGAGGACTAAGAGGCCAAAGACTAGGACAAAAAGGGCAAAGAGATCAAATTGTTGGGTCTCCATAGCAAGGGCAATGACAAGAAGGTGAATCTCTTTGTGGCTCAGTTCAAAGGTCCAGAGATCAAATGCTCACTCAGGCATGCAAGGTCATTGCCAATTTTGACCAGATGCATGTAATGACACACAAGGCAAGGGGCAATTTACCATGTCTGCCATGGACCAAGGGAGCATCATACAAGCAACCATGGGCATCAGGTGCAGCATCTATATAAACCTGGATATATTTGGAGACAATGGCAACTATCTGCACTTTACCATCAACTCAAGCAATCTCACCCCTTGTCACAGTCCATGACACAGGAGTTCTGCACTTCTTGTGGAAAGAGGGCGAAGAATTCATCTGCTATTCAAGCACAGAGATCAATGACTCATCACCAACAACACTCACATCTCCTTCATTGTCCTCCTCTTCCTTTACGCACTTTCCCTTTCCCTTGCCAGCCTTGGGCGAGTTGGTAACCAGTAGGAGCATTGGAAAACCCAGCCAGGGATGTCAATGTTGATCTGAGAACCTGAAGTAGAAGAAGACATAACTGTGTTGCACTTGGAGGAAGAAGGAGTGCAGATGCTGTTTGTTCACTTGGTCAAGTGATGAGTGTTCTAACGGCCTGTGATGTCTGTTAATAAATTGTCTGCACTCTCTGGCGCCAGGTTTATTTTCCAGATTTTGGTGATGACAGATCATAGGCCAGTGCTTCTCCCACATACTGTGCATGCAGAGGTTCATCCAGTAGGTCAAGTACCCATTTGGGCACCTTCATATCATCACATTGCCATTCTGCACCTGGAGACCTGCACTTCTGGTACCTCTTTTTCACATTGTCAATCCATTGTGCCTTCATCATCATCTACATCACCACAATCATGCCCAGTAAAAAGTGAGCGTTGGTGCAACATTGCTCACTTTTTATTGGTGATGGAATTGCTGATTTTTCTACGTGGTGTTCTGCTGCAGGTGCCTGTCTTTACATAGTCAAGTTTGTGCATGTCCTTGGCATGAGGTGCTGTGCTCTGTGGTGGAGCCAATTCACTTCTCTCAGGCATGTAGCATATATAATCATTCTTCTCTGACTGGCCGTATTTAATACCAACATCACCCATTCGCGCACTGTGCTTTTGTGCTTGCAACTGGTCTGAGCCAAATCTCGAACCTGCAAATCATTGTTGCACACCACCACAAGGTGAATACCAACAACATCACACAGTGCTTCATTGATGTGATCCTTTCCAGTGCAAAGTGCCATGACTCCCATGGCCAAGTCTATCCAACATTTGGAATCCCCATCAGATGACTGTAGCATCTTGAATGCAAGTGTGGATCTGTTGATGTTCCTCTTGTGCTTCCCATCAGGTGTCACATCTTGGACAAAGAAGGAGACACTGTTGGAGGGTGATTGGAGATCTACTGTTCAGGACATGTGGCGCTACTTGAACAACCTCTATATGATAGAGCAGTTGAAGGCACTCGGGGAGCCATGGTTCTTGATAAAGTCCGCTTCGCTCAATTTGTTCAGGTCTCCCATGGTGCAGGATGTACTGCTGTCCTCTGGTCTCTGCAAGTAATATTTGGCGCCAGATTTTTAGTTATGCAATGCTCTGGTGGACATTTATTTGAGCCAAGGCCACACACACACACAGCCTTCTTACTTTAGAGAACGCCCACGAGTCCAATGCACTCACGGCCACCGACAAGCGCCTGATGGAGATGATCAATAAAGTCGAACAGGAAAGAAGGAGACTGGGAATACATCCGACGGGAACGAAGTGGCGCAGATGCTCAACCTGATGAAGAAATTTCATGCATGAAAGTGATGGACCCCAACAGCCGCAGACAAGGTGCCCAGTTGGCTCAGACACAGTCCCATCCACTCGTGGAACTGGAAGATGTTCCAGTGCATCAATACGGTCGAAGCATGGCTGAACAGAGGGCGCGCGTATAATATGTGCTGCGTGTGCCCAAAATTTCTCAGCGAAGTGCATCTCAGAATCATACGCAACATAAAGAACGCGGACGATCTGACGACCGAACACGTACACATAGCAACAGGAGAATGGAGAGACGGGAGAAACCGTCCATTCCACTATACCTCTATTCTTGGCCGAGCCAAAGAAATAAGCCAAAACGAGGAGAACACTATGAGTGGAAGGTGACGCTATCGGTGATCGGCACGCGATCCATCCACACACGATTTCCCGGAGCGGTCTCGTCAGGGTAGCCGAATGAGATCCCGAACAGCATCTTCAGTTCCTCGGGGATGCCGAGCACCTCGCGGATCGTGCCGGCGAAGAACCCCAGTGAGGTCTGTGGGATGCCTCCCAGGCCCCGCGCCGAGAGCGAAAGCAGGAACGTCTGCCCGTACATGCCGATGTCTCCTGCCACACGGACGTTATCGACGAAGGACGGCATGAAGAGCAGGGCCACATGCGGAGCGTTGAAGAACGAGTAGTTCAGGGCAGCCGCCTGGCGCCGTCCCTCCTTGTCATCCCGCTTGACGTTCAGGGCTCCGTAGTACGCCTTGCCATGCGCGTGCTGGCGCTCGCCATAGGGGCCGTAGAATGCAGCCATGTCGAACGCGAAGTCAGGCGAGAACTGGCCGGCATCGTTCTTCTCGTGAATGGCGCGGGAGAGGTCCGCCAGCTTGGCTCCTGAGACGATGTGAACGTTCCAAGGCTGGGTATTGCAGTTCGATGGTGCGCACTGGGCGTCCTTCAACACCTCCTGGATGATCTCATCGGGAACGGGGGTGCTCAGAAAGCCACGATAGGAGCGCCGGCTTCGGACCGTCTGCTTGAACGTCAGGGTGTCATCCGCCTTGTTGTCGTTGTACCTCACCAGTTCAGTCGTCATGCCTTGTTGGTTTTCTATGCAGAAGAAAGGGTGTGTGAGTCCAATAATTATGCACCCTTAGCTGGGTGCCTCGCCGTTACAAACGCCGATTTCTGTTCTTCCGTACCAAACTCCGTGGCTTCAACATAATAATAATAATTGTTCCGTCGAAAGGAATGTAAAAATTGGCCCCACGGATAATAAAAAAGGGCCGACCAGAGGCAAAAGGGCCGATGAAGGCGATTTCAGTCAGGCAGAGCATGAAAGGAAGGCAGAATAATGCATGCTGCTCCCAATTGCACCAGAGGGCGGGATTTTGCTTATGACAGACTGGATGCTTCCATTGGTATGGGTCTGGATGTGTTCATTACAGATGCACCAACCACTGATGACAGCAAAAATCTGTGGCAGCCAACAAAAATCTGTTGTGAACAAGTTTGTGTTGTTGATCTATTTGTTACCAAAGAAGCACAAAAGCAATAATCCTACCATGTGTATTGATTGCCATATGGAAATGCTTCCACACACAGAAAGCAATCACAACACACAGGGTCATCCCTGACACAAAGGCCATGTCTTTGTTGTCAATAAATCATTGCCAGGTCTAGTCTAGTTGGCAATGTCATCTTCTTATCTAGAGCAGCCTTTGTGTATCAACTGACTGCTCACAATCTTAGGACTGGTTGCTGAGGCAGGTGCTCTTCTAGCATGATGCACAGGAAAGGGCTGGACAGAAGCCTGGTTGTTCTAAGCTGCAACCATAAGCTGGAACACAATGCCATTTACCTCAGCCCATCTGCTCACAGCACAGAGCAGCAGCAGGGTGTGGAGGCGTCCGCCTCCGCGCTGCCACCCTTGTCACCCACTGCAGATGCGTCTGCTGCCGCTGATCTATCCACGACGCCATCGCCGTCATCGCCATCACCGCTGGCGGAGAGCGATGCAGCTGCAGAGGAGAACAGTCCCGAGGGTGGAACACAACCGACGGAGAACCGGCAACGACGACCAGCGCGTGGCCGAAGACGACCGCAAGACGACGAGGGCGAGGAGACGAGGATGGTCGGGCGGGCCACGGGGAGGCGGGCAGTGGCGGCGTTGCAGGAGGCCGAGGCCGAGAACGCGCGCCTGCGGGAGGTGTGGCAGGCCCTCATCCCCAAGAGCGGCCTCAACTGGGCCGCCGACGAACAACTGCGCGACGTCCTCTTCCGCCAGTCCCCCCCCCCGCCTTCCTCCACGCCCCCGGCCCATAACACCCCCACCCACATCGACCATGATGGGCAGATGACCACGACGATTACGAACAAGAAGGAAGACGATGATGATGACGATGACGATGATAAAAGAAGAAGAAGAAGAGTAAAGAGAAGAAGGTGTGTGGAACTATTATGATGACGGGCAGCCCGGAGAGGAAGATGTGGCGATGGGGGGGGGTCGGGGGGCTTTATCCTCACTTCTAGAGGAAGCGCACGGAGAGGCCGACCTGGAAGGGCTGGACGAGGTCGGTGGCGGCCTTGCGGATCGGATGGGAGAGGTTGAGCTCGACACGGCCGAACATGGTGCGCAGCACCAGCCCCGCACCGACCGCCGCTCGCACGTCGTCCGCCGAAAACAGGTCCTGCACATTGGCCGCCACCGATCGACCTGCACCGAGGCCGCACGCACACAGCCACACAACCGTCACTATCGAGGGACACGTGTGGGATGATGTGGAGGTGTGTTGTGCGTGTTGTGTGTCGTGTGTGTCGTTGGTCGTGTCGTGTCGTGTCGTGTCGTGTCGTGTCGTGTCGTGTCGTGTCGTGTCGTGTCGTGTCGTGTCGTACCAGGGGTGGGCTGGCGGAGGTTGCCGGCGTTGGCGAAGAGGTGTCCGCTGACAAAGTCGGGCACGTCGCGGAGGGGGAGAGGGAAGGAGAGGTGGAGGGAGCCCGCCCAGTAGGCACCGCCCCCGAGCGCCCGCTGCTGGTGGGAGGGACCCACCGCGTTGTACTGGAACCCACGGATCGAACCTGCGGCACACACGATCGTCACACGATCACCGCACGCGTCAGACTACACGTAGCTCGTTTCCATTCCTTGGCTGCTGGTGGTGGTGGCTGGTGGTGGCCGGTGGTGGCCGGTGGTGGCTGGTGGTGGCTGGTGGGGAGGGAGGCGCGTACCGGGTCCGCCGAGGAAGAAGCGGTCGACGATGCGGGAGCCGCTGTCCAGCGCGTGGAGGTAGCCGGCCTTGGCCAGCACGTTGAACGACTGCGGGGGCGCGCGCGAGAATGAAAACGATATTTTAAGTTGCGGGTTAGTAGGGGGGGAGGAGCCATGGCTTAGAGGGGAGGGCGAGGGCGACGAGTCGAGGGCGCCCGACGGGTTAGAGCGGGGGGGGGCGTACGCAGCGCGTCTTGCCGAGGGGCAGGTTGAGCTGGGCCGCCATCTCCTGCTTCACGAACCGCACGTCGCCGCCCAGGCCGGCCAGCTCCTACGCACCCGACCGCACACCACGGATAAGACACAGAGCAACCACGACCACGACGGCGATGTTGTTGATGGGGATGTGGTGGTGGTGATGATGATGGTAGATAACGAATAGCGATGATGCATCAGCCACGCGTGGGAGGAAACATAGATAGATAAGATTCACATGTTGAGACGTACCGTGGAGGAGGTGAAGGCGTGGCCGGTGGTGGGGGTGAGTGGGTCGTCCCGGGTGTCGTGGGCGTACACGTACTTCACCGCCGACTTGAGCGAGTGGCCCGCGTGCGAGCGCAGCGCCAGCGGGGCGCTGCTCTCCGGAATCACGTGACGCGCGCTCGCCTCATACGACACCTGCCCTCCACGACACGACATGGCACGCACACGACACACGACACACGCAGCACACGACACGCATGAGTTTGGGTGATGGTGGGGGCGGAGGGGGCGGGGAGGGGGTGGCGTGCCTGGTGGGAGGGGAGGGAGTAGCGGAGGGCGAGGCCGTGGGTGGTCTGGGTGAGGGCGCACCAGGGGAGGCGGTGCGAGGCGCGCGTGGCGTCGGCCTCGATGTGGCGCGGGCCGGGACCCTGCCCGAGCACGGGGCGCTTGAAGGCCAGGCTGAACGCCGAGCTCCAGTGCTCCCGCCAGTTCGACGCGCCCACCTGCGCGCTCACCGACACCGTCTCCGCCCGCCCGAACGCGTTGCACAACCCCACCGTCGCTTGCTGTTGTTGCCAACAATCACCCAATCAATCAATCCATCCATTAATCAATCAATCATTGCCACCACGTGTAGCGCGAGTTTAGTGAGGGTTCCGTTTAGTTTTGAGGGAGGGGGAGACGTACGACGTCGGGTTCGTTTTCGCCGACGGTGGTGGAGGTCTTGACTTCGATGCGGGTGAGCTTGTGCTCGACGAGCTCCACGCGGAGGTCGCACGCGGAGGGGTCGGCCGCGGCCACGTCGTCGGGCAGGTCGTCGAGGACGAGGTTGACGGACTTGAAGATGCCCAGGCCCTTGAGCTCGCCGGCGGCCTCGGCCACGCGCGCCAGCACCTCGTCAAAGGTGCGCGCCTTGAGCACGGGCTTCACGCACGCCGCCACCACGTCCGGTCGCGTGCGCCGGTTGCCCTTCACCCACACGCGCCGCACACGCCACGCATCCTCGCCCCTCACCCCCAGCTGAGGCGATGGCGCCAGAGAGATTACAGCCCCCCCCCCACAAAAACCCATTGAGCACATCGCGCAACGCAAGATTATTGGGAGACACAAAAAATTGGCTAAATAGAAAAATAATGGAGGTGGCGGATGATGCGTGGCAGTAAGAAAGAAAGAAAGAAAGAAAGAAAGAAAGGAACGTACATCGATGGGCTCGTCTTCGTCAGTGTACGACATATTGAGCGGCGGTGCTGTTTGTTTGATCTTGATTTTTGGCGGGAGAGATGAGCAAAAAGAATAGGCCAGGCATTCCGACAAGGCACTGCGGAATTTCCAAGAAACGCCAGTTTCCAGAATGCAGGAAAAAAGCCGACGGCAGTGTGGGGCTCAATCTTCTCTCTTGCCTGGTGAAGACAAAAGCCACAGCTCAAATTTGCAACGCAAGATGGCGGACCCAGGCGCGGCTCCTTCGTCACCGCCACCTTCGCCCTCATCGCCAATGGGAGGAGGCCCCTCAGAGGTGCCCATGAAAACGAGCAGGGAGTTGCGAGTAGAGGAAATGTGTCCCGATTGCAAGAATCCCAACGGCGAATTCATGGAAGGTGCGCACGACCAACACTCATTTGCAGTTCCTTTTCTTTCTGCTTCCCTTTTCTTGGGTGACTCCTCAAAGCCCATTTCAATTCCATCAACAAGTTATTTCATTTATCCACAACCTTGCCCCTCTCCTCTAATCGCTGGGCCTCCAGATTTTGCGAATGGAGACATGATCTGCAGGGATTGTGGGCTGGTGGTGGGCGATCGCATCGTGGACGTGCGGTCCGAATGGCGTAACTTTGCCGACAGCGGTGACGACCCGAGTCGCGCAAGTCGCGTCAACGACTGGCTGCCGTCGGGCGGGTTGGCCACCGAGATCGCGAAGCTGCCCACGGGACCCAACGGGCAGAACAACGGGCAGGGCGGCGGAGGCAAAATGTCGCAGTGGCAGCGCCGCATCCAGCTCAGCCAGGGCGACCAGAACCTCCTCTCGGGCTTCGACAAGATCACCCACATCGCCGAGATCCTCGTCCTGCCCCAGAAGATCAAGGTACCACCACCGCACACGCCTCTTGGTGTGTTTGTTGCTTCTTCTGACCGCACACGCACACGCACACAGAACAAGGCCAAGGAGCTGTATTCGTCGTTCGAGTCGAAGCGGAACAAGTCGATGCGGTGCAAGAAGGACTCGATCGTGGCGGCGATCATCTACATGGCCTGCAAGGAGGAGGGCGTGCCGCGTACCTTCAAGGAGATCTCCAAGGAGACCGAGATCTCGGAGAAGGAGATCCGAAAGTACTACCGCGCCCTCAACAAGATCCTCCCCAAGGGCACCGGCCGCACCTCGGCCTCCGATCTTGTGGTATGGCCTGCCCTCCTCCGTGTGTGTCGTGTGTGTCGTGTGCGTGTGTTACCTGAGTTATATAGGAGGCTCACAATCTCGATGTGACACGGCCGCGTGCAGAACCGGTTCTGTTCGAAGTTGAAGCTGTCCAACGAGATCATGAACCTGGCGACGGACATCGCCAACAAGGCGGCGGCCTTTCTGGAGGGCAAGTCGCCGTCGTCGATCGCGGCGGCGTCGATTCTGCTGGCCACCAAGCTGCAGGGCGAGAAGCGGTGGGAGAAGGACATCGCGGCCGCCGCCTCCATTTCGCCCACCACCATCCGCAACGTGTTCAAGGAGCTCCTGCCCCACCAGGAGAGCATCCTCCCCGAGGGCTACCGCCCTCTACAGAACGCCACCGCCTAATTGGCGGCGCTGCCCGCTGCGAGAGATACCTACATGCCTGCCCCCGCCGCATCCGTGGAGGAGGAGGAGGAGGGCGTGCTGCCGGTCGGAGCCCACCGGCCCACTGACGTGCGGTGCTCTACGTAGGCCCTCATCTCTCTTCTCCCTCCCCCCCCCGTGTATTTATCCGCGTGTGCGGCTGCCGCTGCCGCTGCCGCCTATTTTACGCCTCTCCTTCTCTCCTGTACAGCTGAGCGTGTCTCCCTCACCGCTGCGACAGACACGACATAAAAAAAACCACTTGTTGCGATTTGAAACAGTTCTGTGTTTGGTGGTTGGAAGGGTTGGTCAAGCCGATACGTAGGGGAGGAGGCGGCTGGAAAGGGCCGCCTTCTTCCACCGCTGGGCGAGGTTCAGGGCAAAGGCCGCGTGTCGCCTCCGCTCGTCGTGGGTGCCCTCCATCTCCTCCACGAGCCGCACCACCGCCTCTTCGTCCGTCCTCCGCTGCCGAATCAGACTCACCAGCGCCGCCCTGCTCCGTTCCACCACCACCACCACCACCACCACCCGACCACAGCACGCAATCAGCAAAGCCGTCGCACACGCAAACGCCACGACGCCGTTTAGTTTTGTCAAATACGCACCTCCGCTCAGAGTTGGCCTGGGTGTGGCGGGGAACTGGTCGTGGCATAAAGAGCCGAGAGAGCAGGCTGCCGCTGTCAGAGGCGTCGGCCTCGTCGGCCTCGCTTGCGGCGGCCGCCGCCGGTGGCGGGTATTCGTTGTTGGCGCTGGCGTCGCCGCTCTCCGTCTCGTCGGTGCTCAGATCGAGCTCTCCCTCCTCGCCGCCCTCCTCGTCTCCCTCGTCGCCCACCTCCAGCGAGGGTCTCCTTTGCTCCTGGCCGGCCTCGTCGCCCATCTGATCCCCCTCCAGCTCGCCCTCCTCGCCCTCCTCATCGTCGTCTTCATCGTCGTCGGCCAGGTCGTCCACCGCCAGCAGCCGGCCCTCGAGATCGACGCCCGGATGCGGCGACGACGTGGGCTCCTCCTGCAGCTCGCCCTCCTCCTCCTCGCCGCCCACGCCGAGCGCGCCGGCCAGGGCCTCGGCCTGGGCCGCCTGCGACGGCTGGTGCAGGGCCGGCGGCGGCGACGGCGTCTGGTCGTCTGCCGGAGTCGGCGCAACCGCCGATGCTGGCGGCGCCCCGACCGCCGCCGTAGCCTGCTGTGATGTGGGCGCCGCCAACTTCGGCTTCTTGGCCCTGTGCACCACCGCCACACCCGAGTCGTTTTAGAAACTGGGGCGGGGGCGGGGGGCGGGGGCGGGGCGGGGTGGTGGGGGGCGTACTGGGGTGGGGGGTGGGAGGCGGGTTTGCCGGGGAGGGAGGAGGGCATGACCTTGCGCTTCTTGCTGCGGAGCGGGAGGCCGGCGCCGCCGGCGGCGCCCAGGCCCTCGTTCTCGGAGGCGGCCTCGATATCGAGGGCGTCGATCATGTTGGCCATCTTGCCGGCCTTGTCGGCGCGCGCGACCACGAACGGGTTGCCGAAGAACACGGCCCGCCGCTTGGGGTCCTCCTCGATGGGCCGCAGCTGGTTGCGCAGGATCTCGTGGTAGTTGCCCATGTGCGCGATCGGCACCGAGTGCGCTCGTGCCGTCTCCGTGTCTTTCTTCTCGCTCTCTGCACACACACACGCACCACACACACACACACACAACACACACACAACACACACGCACACACAGCGAGCAGGCGTGAGGCGTTGATGAAATGGCGCCTGAGCCAAGGGTGGAGTAGTAGGTACCGAGGCCGAAGACGAGGCGCGCCTGGAGCTGCTTGACCTGGGCGAGGAGGCCCGTACGCGCCACGCCCCACTTCTCCCCGTTGCTGCTGTTGTTGGCCTCCGCTGCGGCGAGGGACTGGGATCGGGCGGTCTTGCCCCGCATCCGCTCGGCGTCGTACTTTTGCTGTTTGCGTCGCGCGCCGACCACCACCACCACCACATCAACACACAACAAACACACACACACACACACACACACGCACAGTACTCCAAAGTCAGCGCATGCGCACACATACAGCGGGTGTTGCGCTTGGGATTGGGGTTGAACCTGGGCGAGGAGTTTGATCTTCTGGAGGTGGGTGTTGATGATATTGGTGTAGCCGTCCTCGATGTGTTCCGGCACGGGAAACGAATATCGCTTGAACGCTGCACGCAGGTAGGGGAAGTAGTACGGCGGCAGCCGCGCCAGGTACGAGTCGAACTCCTACGCGCGCCAACATATTCGACATTTCGAAAAAAATTAGATATATAACTTTCTAGGTAGTTAGATATAAGTGACGGCCGGAGGGGATCTATCTAACCTTGCGCCACTTGTGGTTGGGCATGTTGCGGTGGGTGTTGATGAGTTCGTCGAGGAGGGGCCACAGGCGGGGGTAGTTGTAGGGCAGCACCACCAGCGTCACGCTCTTGTGGCCCGTCTTGCGCGACCGCGCCGCCTTGATGAACCCGAACGGCTCGCCCGGCCCCGAGTTCGCCGCATACACCTGGCAGCACACCTGCCCCGTCTACGTACACCCGACCGCACGCGCGCACGACAGTGTGAGTCGCATGCAGTCGTGTGCGTGTGCGGTGGTGCGTGTGTGCGTGTGCGGTGGTGTACCTTGGACTGGGAAAGCTGTGTGATGAGGGCGGTGGTGAGGGGGCAGGGCTCGACCTCGTATTCGTCGAAGGGGAAGCCCGGGTAGATGTAGGGCTCGGTCTCGACCTCGCGCACAAGCAGGACTGGGTGGGCCACGCGCGCCGGGAGCAGCTGGTCGGCGGCCAGGCCCAGGATGGCCTCCGGCGGAAACGATTCGGGGAGCGGCCAGTTGCCCAGCGGCAGCCGGCCCTCGATGGGGCGCAGGAACAGCAGCCGATGCGGAGACGCCGGAAGCTGCAAGCCTGCTCAGGCCACACACACACGACACACACACGACACACACACACGACGCACACGAGGACGTAAGCACGACACGCACAACATGCACACGAGAAAGAAGGAGCGTGTACCGGTCGGAGGGTCGTCGGCCAGGCTCATTCGATCGAAGTTGACGACAAGACCGCCCGTGTTGAGGCGGCCCACGACTGACTCCACACACCCCAACAGCGTCTGCACCACACAAAAAAAGCGCGAATCATTACTCGTGCGTGTGCCGTGTGCCGTGTGCCGTGTGCCGTGTGCCGTGTGCCGTGTGCCGTGTGCCGTGTGCCGTGTGCCGTGTGCCGTGTGCCGTGTGCCGTGTGCCGTGTGCCGTGTGCCGTGTGCCGTGTGCCGTGTGCCGTGTGCCGCACAATACCTTCATGCAGGTGGCGACGTAGCATTTGCCGCCGGTGACCTCGCTCATGGCGGTGAGGTGGGACGACGGGCTTCCTTGCGGGTCGTTGGGCACGGGCGCGCCCGAAGGAGCGCCGCCGCCGGGCGCGTCGCTGGCAGCCGAGGTGGACGGGGGTCGTAGGAGGACGCTGAACAGGCGCTGGTCCCACCGGAACGGCTCCACGGTCAACTCCGATCCCGGCTGCGGCGTGGGCGGCAGCACCAGCTGAAATGTGTGTCGGCGTGGAGGGAATTCGCAGAACGTGAGGAATGTGCGCATTCCATGCCAGAGAGTGAGGGGCAAAAAGCGAACGCGAGGAATTGTGTGTGTACATTGCTGAGGACGCCGGTGTGGCTGGTGAGGGCGCCGCCATCGGTGAGGAGAATCACCACCGACGGCTCCGGCAGCCATGGAATGCGACCCTGCATCGGCATCCGGCACACGGGTGAGGAATGCAGAGGAATGTATGGTAAAGAGAGGGCAAATGGGGGAACTCGTACGAGGCCGTAGTTGTCAAAGTTGGAGCTGAAGCGGACCAGGTTGAGGAGGTCGAAGGCCCGCTTGAGGGCGGCGCCCACGGCCGACAGGTCGGTGGCCACCAGGTTCTTGACCTCCTCCGTGAACTTTAGGAACGAGTCGTTGCCCCACCCCACCTGCACCCACCGCCAGCACAGTATAATCATTATTGTTTTGTTTTTAGAACAACGAATTTATAAAATTAAAAATTATTTAAAAAAACAGCCAATCTGCAGCTCTTTCGAGATGTAGCTATGAAAGGAGGTGAAAAAGAATAATCACAAGTCTAATTTCAATAAATGGAGGGGTACCTTGATGCCAGAGGGGCCATCGTCGAAGGTCAGGAGGAAGAGGCGATCGAATCTAAGGTCGCGTCCGCGCACTTTGAGAAAATGCTCGATGGCAGCCTTGGCACAGTCGAGTAGGGACAGCCCGTTGTAGATGCGCTGATTCATGCTCGCGCTGGTGTCCACTACAAACACCACATTCGTCACTACCACCGGCCCTGGCCTCGCACCCTGCTGCACCTGCGGAGGCATCGGTCCTGGCGGCTGCTGCGGCGCCTGCTGCTGTGCCATCATGCCGGGGTCACCACCTCCTCCTTGCCCCTGCCCCCGTGCTGCCATCTTCTCTTCGCCCCGTGTGAAAAAGAATAAAAACAACGTTTCCTTTCTGCCTGTCGACAAAAGTACAATGTGCTTGTCTTCAGAGGTTGCTGTGGGCGGGCGTGTGCGGCCTGGCGTCGGGCAGCAGCGCGCTCTGCACGAGCGAGACCACTTCCTCGGCGCACCCCCACGCGACGGTGAATCCGCTTCCTGATGTTGCACCACGAGGATTTGAGCGCGCAACTCGAATGGTGATGGTAAGCGGGAGAGGGAGTACCGCCGTGGCCGTAGTTGTGGATGACAGTCTTCTTGGCTGCGCCGTGGGAGAACTCCTCCTTCTCCAGACGCACCTCCGTTCTACGTCCCCCCCCCAAACGCATTCCAAACAAGGCCTGGTAAATTCCTGGGAGAGATCGAAGCTGGTGGCTTCGACGGTGAGGCCTGCGTACCTGGCCGGCCGAAGTCCAACCAGCACCTCGAGCACCTCGAGGTCCTTCTTCTGGAGCTTGCCCACCGACAGGTTCTCTACCTTGCGCAGAATCTCCTCCGTGGTACGTTCGTCCACGTTGGTCGACCAGTCGTCTGTGTGCGCAATTGCGCACGAGGCATCAGAAATCACATCAACCTCGGGCTTCAGACAATACCACCACCCACCACCCACCACCCACCACCCACCACCCACCACCCACCACCCACCACCCACCACCCACCACCCACCACCCACCACCCACCACCCACCACCCACCGCCCACCGCCCACCGCCCACCACCCACCGCCCACCACCCACCACCCACCACAATGGTAAGGGAGCCGATACCCTTGATGGCGGTGCCGCCCAGGATGATGTCGTTCTGCCTGCTGATGAAGTAGCCCAAGCAGTTGGGTCCTTCCTCGTCGCTCACCTGCTCCGGAAAAAGAAAGCAGCCACGTGAACACACACGCCACCACATCAAAACCTGGTTGCGGGTCCGCACCGTTCGGTCGCAGCCGACCTGCCGCACGCGCAGTATCTGCCCACGGAGGGGATAGACCTGTGCGTCGACACCGGGCGTGTTGCGTTAGCCAGCTTCGCGGCCAGGGCCATCAGCATCGACCGCGGCCGTAGAAGGTGAGGTAGGCCATGATCTTGAGGGTCTCCTCCATGAACTCCATGGCGTCATCGTCGAGCAGACGGACCAACCGCACAACTACAGAACATGGCACGCGGGACAAGGCCACGTACGTGTGGGTCGTTGCACAGCCAGCGGGATCCGATGCCGGTGCAGTTGATCACGACGTCGAATTCGTGGAATGCCTCGCGCAAGTCGTGCACCTCCCTCTGCACGAACGTCACTGGCGGACGTATATGATCGGCAGCCAAAGAGAAGAACGAAGTCACCACCTCGACTGTAGCAAGGCACGTCGCGACGATGTCGGGTGTACCGCCGTCATCGCGCAGGCGCTGCACGAGCTGTGCCAGCAGCTGAGGCACTTCGACCACCAGCGCGTCCACCACGAATCCTGTCCAACCAAAACTCTTATAAATATATATGCGATCACAGATATATATGTGATCGCATCTCAGTACCATCGGCATACTCGGCCGGCAGTTCGTTGGGATTAAGCCGCCTATAGGAGGGCATGATCTCCTTCCTGTTGTGGAGAAAAAAAAATGCAGTCAGGCCAGCAGTCTGGCGAGCAGTGTGGTCACCAGTCGCAACGGCACTAGCGAAAGGCGGTGGTCAGCCGGGGGTACCAACCAGTAGGGATCAGCGGCGAGGCGGTGCGGGAAGTACTCGTAGCACTTTTGCTCGCGCACCAGCTCCGGCGACGCTGATGACGACGACGCACCCTGGCACGCCTCCGCGCCCATGTACCTGCACAGGCCGCCGCCGCCGCCCGTGAACAACAACAACAACCATCACACGAACGACATTGGCATGCCACGCAACAAAGAGTTCTAAGGAAACCCTAGGTTGGGGGTACCGACCGTTGCCGGTAGTGGCGGAAGGTGGCGGCCGTCCAGCTCATTACTCGATGCGGCGGACTGCACAGGAACGGACACACCAGCCCTCCCGCTACACCACATTTCTTTGTATTAATTAATGAATTAATAATCAATTAATAATACTAAGTAATTTAAATGAGCAAATAATAATAAATATCAATAAATAAGAAGGCGAGAAGGAGGCGCGGTGCAAATTGGAGTAGGCGCATTACCGATGTTGGAGGTGGTGTTGGGCGGGAAGTCCTTGGCCCAGAGGGTGAGCGGCACCTCCGGCAGCGTCTCCCGCAACATGGTGGCCACAGTGAGGCCCACAATGCCGGCGCCCACCACCACAACCTTGGGGCGCCCCGCAGTGCCGCTCCTCTCCGCCTTCGCTTCCATGTGCTCCCCCACCTGCAAGCGCAAACAAAAACAAATAAATGGTAGGCTCGTTTTCTTCAAGAATGCCAGGCACGCTGCCGGCATTTCCGGCATGTGCCTGTTCGGCGGTTGCACCGGTGATTTTCAGACGAGCAACCAATGAGCGCTGGTCTGCCCTTTAATTAATGTCAACCAGATAAAACACCAGAGCGCAAGCAAAAAAAGAGGACAGCACGCAACAAGAAGAACGCAGCACAACAGCAGCACAACGGGGCCAAACACCAACCCAATCAAATCTAACTGAGCAAAGAGAGGCACCATCGTCATGACAGAGCAGGGGAGCAACAACAGCGCCAAGGGGGGCAAGCTCGCACAACTCTCCATCTTTGAGGCCAAGGCCGACGTCGTACGTCCTATCCCCCCCTCCCCCCTTCCAAGCACCTTTTTTTTTGCTGACGTCTGGCGGGCCTGGTGGTTGGTTGGTTTTGGTGGTGGGGGGGGGGCAGGATGATGGCGGCGGCTCGACCAAGAAGACTGCGGCCCAGAGCGGGGGCGGGGCGGCGCGTTTCGTGGCGGCCGAGGGCGACAAGTGCGAGGTGTGCGCCAAGCGCGTCTACATCGCCGAGAAGCTCGAGGCATGTGCCCTCCTCCTTCAGTAATTAGTACTTTATTTTATTGTACTGCTGTTGTTGGGCTCAGGTGGTGAATGTATTGTTGGGGGATGGGTCCAGGCGGACGGGCGTATATTCCACAAGAGCTGCTTCCGGTGCGCCCACTGCAACGGGGCCCTCAAGCTGGGCACCTACGCCTCGCTCCAGGGCAAGTTCTACTGCAAGCCCCACTTCCGGCAGCTCTTTGCCCTCAAGGGCAACTACGCCGAAGGTACCTACCACCTTCCATTCCTTGCATTCCTTCCATTGTAGCCCTTCCGTATCCGCGGTTACTGGTCACCGCAACAACCAATCAATACCGTCCATGGTAACCCATATATATATATATGTGTGGAAATGTGTTTCTATATCAATATATGTGCATACATATAAACGTATATAGGGTTCGGGGAGAAGAAGCCGCAGGATGTGTGGATGCGGGGCAAGGAGGGCGGCGAGGAGGAACCCGACGCCTCGGCGGCCACGCCGGCGGCAGCTGCCGGTGACGCGGAGGCGGAGCGGCGCCGGCGGGAGGAGGCCCAACAGGAGCGGGAGCGGCAGCAGGCGGAGGCGCGGGAGAGGGAGCGGGTGCTGAAGGCGGCGCGCGAGCGGGAGCGCGAGATGCAGAAGCGGGACGAGGACGCCGCGCGGCAGAGGCGCGAGCGGGAGCGCGTGGAACGCGAGGAGCGGGAGCAGAACGAACGCAAGCGGCGCGAGGCCAGGGAGCGCGAAGCCGCCGCCGCCGCCGCCGCCCAACGCCAGCAGCAGCAGCAGCAGCAGCAGCAGCAGCAGGAGGCCAAGAAGAGCAGCGGCGACGAGGCCACGGCGGCGGCGAAGAGGAATGCGGCGGCAGCGGCGGCAGTGGCCGAGAAGGAGCGCGAGCTCCAGAGGCGGGAGAGGGAGGTGGCGAGCCGCGAGCGGGAGCTCAAAGACAAGGAGCGCGAGCTCGAACGCCGGCAAGCCCAGCAGCAGCAGCAGCAACAGCAGCAACAGCAGAGGAGCCCCGCTACTACGAGTGGCGGCGCCAGCAGGAGGAAGGAGCAGGAGCTGGAGCGCAAGGTGCAGGAGCTGCAGGAGGCGCTGGCGGCCAAGGACCGGCAGCTCCAGGCCGCCAGGTCACCGGCAACGGCGAAGGTCTCGTCGTCGTCGGCACCGGCCGCTGTGCGAAGCGTCGGAGCGGGTGGTGGTCGCTGGGGCTGGTACGCCTTCGCCGTGGCGCCCTACGTCGTGTGCACCCTCTGGCTCGCCTACCTCTGGTCCTAGGGCTCATCGCACCAACCATCAATCAAGCATCATTGCGTGGCCGATGGCCTCCGCCTCCCTCCACCAACCAACAACCAACAGCACAACTCTTTTCTCGACGTGGTGGTGGTGGTGGTGATGTAAATAGTGATAGTTTTTAGTTCAAGATAGCAGCGTCTTGCGTGTTGTTGGTTTCGCAGAAGGCGTCAGTGGTGGTACTTGCGGAGCGGGACGACGTCGGGCGGGAGCTGCTGCAGGTGCTGCTTCGGGTGGGCCGTGAACGCCCACTCCGTCCTGCGCGCCGAACAATAGATCAATCAAACGGTGCACCGACCAAATGACATGAGAGAGGTGCGTGTCGTGTCGTGCGTGTAGCAGATCTGCGGGGGTACCAGGAGCCGTCGTAGATGGGCACGTCGGGGCGGCCAAAGGTGTAGAGGACGAGGGCCAGCGGGCACGCGGTCACGCCTGACCCGCACATGGCCGCCACCGCCACCTCGTCATGCGTCTGCTCCCCGCTCTTGTCGGCGATGGGCACGCCCCGCTGGGCGAACAGCTCGACGAGCTCCTCGCGGCTCTTGAGCAGATGCACGGCCTCCACCTCGCCCCGCTCGTTCGTGCGCTCCACCTGCCGGCCGCAAGCCCGAAGGCCTGCTGTCAGTCGGGGTCTCGGCGTTGTGCGTGCGCGCCCCAGTACCTTGCGGAAGAGTTGGGGGAAGGGAAACGACACAGAACCGGGCACGCTTCCACTGGGCACGCCCCTTCGCGGCTCACCTGAACGCACGCGACACACGACACACGACACACGACACACGACACACAAGACACACAAGACACACACGACACCCGCGTGAAGCGTGCACATCGGAGTTAAAATTCATCGCGTGTGGGCGGGGGGGAGGGGGCGTGTACCGGCCTGGCCGAGGAACCGCTCGCCGGGGCGGGCGTCGAGGAGGATGTGGCGGCGGCCGTCGTCCTGCTTGCCAGCGCTCACGATGTGCTTGAGCACGTCTTCTTGGCCCCACACCAATTCCTGCGCGCAGCACCAGCCAAAGCCGCACGCACGTGTGCGTGAGTGTGTGCGGTGGTGCGCGAGTGAGTGCGGTGGGCGTGTGTCGTGTGTCGTGTGTCGTGTGTGTGGGATGCGTACGGGGTGGTAGGAGGCCGGGTAGGAGGCGGGGGCGGCACCGCTCGGCACGTCGGATGGCACGACGATGCGCCATTGAGCCGGGATCTCCAGTCCAGCGGGCCAGCCCGCGTAGCCGCCCTCCAGCACCGACACCCGACCGTGCCCGAACACCTGCCACCCACGCACAGCACACACACACACACGCACACGCACCCACAGCACACACACACACGCACACACACGCACAGTGAGCAGCGGCTCGAACGCGAGAAAAGGAGAGCGAGGTGCGTTTGAAGAAGAAGAAGTAGGGCAGTAGTGGTACGCGGAAGGTCCACCAGACGCGAGCAGACGCAGTGAGGAGGCCGTTGGAGTGGTCGTACAGGAGCACGTGATCGTCACTGCCCCCCGCCACCGCCGCACGGCCGCCGCATCAGCAGGGAGCTGTGGGAAATGGGGGGAGGGCGGCATGTATATAAAAATAAATAAATATAAAACAAATGTACGTACGGGGTGATGCCGTGGCGGTCCATCCACGCGGCGAACTGGTCGGGCGAGGGCAGCATGTGGGGCGAGGGGCTCTTGTCCTCCGACCGGTCCGCCACGTCGTCCACATCAAAGTACGCCGCTCCTGCACCAATAGTTATGAGTTATTTATTTTTATAATACTAAAATTATTAAAAAACGAGATGTAGAAGGGCACCAGCGAGGACGGGGCGGTGAGGCGACGAGGGCGGGACAAGGAACCACGAGCAGTCGACCACCTTGGAAGCATGCGTGCCCTCGGCAATGCGGGACTTCACCCACTCGCTGGTGACCAACGTCGGCTCCATCTTTTTTGCAGAGTGCGAAAAGAACGCCGACGCAAAATTCATTTTTCTCCTCTTCCTGCTGACAGCACACGCGTGCACAGGGCAGATGTCCATTCGTCCAGAGCCATGTGCTCTTCGGATCACCACAAGAAGGTGAGAAATGAACGTTTTCATAATTTCCATGTGTACACTGCCAGCACCACCACGCCACGGAGAACCTGCGAGCGATCACCGCCTTGCTCCCGAGACCTGCCAAAATGGCGGTGATAGATAGATAGAGGAGGGAGAGAAGAGTGGCCTCCGTCGCTGCTCTGCTTTTGGTTGTCGTTGGGGGGGGGGCACCGACTGCTCGTTGCCCCCCTTTCCACTCGTCTCACTTCCACTTCCACTTTCACACGTCCTTGTCGCTGCCGTCATCGTCCTCGGTGTAGTCGGTGCCATCGCTTCCGTTGCCGCCGTTATCGTCGGTGTCATCGCCCTCGGCGTCAGTATCCTCGAAATCGCTCGCGCCGCCGCCGCCGCCGTTGGCCGAGCTCCGCTTGCGGCCTTTGCGGCCGCCAAAGTCCTCCTCGCCCACCACCGCCTCCTCGTCCTGGTTGCCGGCCCAGTCGTCTGCTTCGTCGTCGCTGCCCAGCGGCACGAACTTGACCTTGGACTCGACGTCTTCGAGCTCCTGGTCCGCGGCGCGATGGGTCCACGATGATCGCTGGTGGCGCCGACCGCCCCGTCGTCGCGTGGGCGACGGCGAGCCCGACGAGGAGGAGCCGCCGGCAAAGAGCGAGGACGGGTTGGCGAGGGACTGGATGGCGACGCAGAGCAGCGAGCACACGATGGTGCCCCACATGTTCCACGTGAACCACGAGTGGCCGAAGATCATCGCCACCAGGAACGGGATCGCCGAAAAGATGAGCGTTTGCGTGTACATCATCCCTGCGCGTGTGTCGTGTGTGGGTTGTGTGTCGTGTGTGTCGTGTGTGTCGTGTTAACGCTAGTTGAGTGGCGGAGTGATGCGAAAAGCAGCGGAGGAGTACCGAAGGGGTTGCGGTCGGCGAGTTCGCAGCCGTAGTCCTGCTTGGGGTCGAACAGCTTGCCCGAGTTCGGGTGGCCCGCCTTCTCCGCCGCTTTGAACCTCTCCGCCAGGCACCCGAACCTGCGCGCGCGGCAACAACGTTAGGGGTTGAGTTGCTATGCGACCTAAATTGTGTCACGAGAAGCCGAGCGAGCGAGCGAGCGCGTACCAGTGGTCGGTGGCGTGTTCGTAGTGGCCGCGCCGCGTCTGGATGACCCACCAGTAGATCATCATGAACAGGAAGATGCACAGGAACGAATACCCGAACACGATCAACCTGCCCTGCCTGCATCATCATCATCATCATCAAGACACAAACATTCAAGAAATATATAAACATCAGTTATTAGTGTCCACCTCATAGGCAAACGAATATAAGAAAATAGGGGTAGTTGGGCGCGCGCAAGTACTTGTGGAAGCCGGCGAAGCCGTGAATGGTCAGCAGCCGAATGATGGCCAGGTTGAGGGTTACGAAACTCACGCACACGATGATCGTGAACTCGACTATTGCAACGCATAACGTGAGACCAAAAAAGGGCAATACGCAAGTGGGAGGAGGTTGATGAGGTATGGGTACCGTAGAAGAGGCCGTTGGCCCACCAGCCCTCCGCCGCGTCCCAGTCGAGAAAGCAGTTCACCGACGTCGGACTCGCGCCAATCTGCATGCATGCGGTCCCACACAGGTTTAGGATAACTGGGAATTTAAGGAATGCAACACACGGGAGGTGAACGGGCTCTTCACGCACCTGGGTGGAGACCCACGCGATGAACAGCCCCACCGTGGGCAAGAACTGGACACACGCATGTACGTGCACGCACGCACGCACGCACGTATGAGCCACAATGCACGCACACGTTTGGGTGTTGTCTTCGTAGGCACTGCCGCTACACACAGAGAGAAAGCGGATGGGGAGGCGAACGAACCCATCCGACAAAGTAGTAGAAGATGCGGAGCTTCTTGCTGTGATACCCGAGCCCCGAAAACGAACCTGTGGTTTGGTTTGGTTTGGGGTTTGTTGTCAGCCACGGCTTCAAGGAGAAGAAGAGAAGGTGCCGGTACCAATGAGGAGGTGGAGGCAGACATTGAACCACCACGTGACCAACGACGCCGTGCCCCAGTACAGCAGTATGCCTGAGAGTACGCTCCGGAATGTCAGTCAGTCATGGCCTTAGCTTCGCTCCCTAGCCTTGCGTTACATTGAATTTATAAAAATAAACAATAATAAATAAACAATAATAAATAATAATAACAATAGTAAAGTTTGGAACGGACCTTGCACGGCGCAGGGGAAGTAGGTGACATCGGCGACGATGAAGTCCTTCTCGCAGGTGACCTCGTCGAAGCCGCCGAGGAACGAGGGCCAGATGAAGCCGAGGGCCATCAGGCCGGACGAGATGTAGATGTAGAGCGGGACGACGTGCGGGAACATGTTGGTCTCGGAGAAGTTGATGAAGAACGGGATGAGCACCACGACGAGCATCACCGCCCCGAAGTAGCCCTCCACGATCTGCGTGATCGACAGGGCCATGTACTCCGGGTCGGAGTAGGTGCCCAGCGGACACTCGCGCTGGCACGGCGTGATGTACTTCGAGTCGTCGAACTCCTCGCTCAGGGCCTGGTAGTGCGGCGGACACTTGACGTGCGGATCCACGTCGTCATCTGTCCATGCATGACACTCCCTTAATTCAGTATGAGGTCTTGTGCGTGTGCGTGTGCGTGTGCGTGAAATGAAGGAAAAGGGTAGAACCTTTGTCGCCGGGAACGAAGCACTTGTAGGCGGTGGTGGTGTTGTCGGGGAGGGTGTAGTGGTAGGGCTGGGACGCGGGCGGGTACACCATCGTCTCCCCGGCCGTGCCCGGCAGCGTGGCGTTGCAATCGGGCAGCTGGTCCTCCATATCGTCGAGCTGGAACTCGCCCCGGCAGTCGGACAGCACCTCCGTGCAGAACGGGTAGCACAGCGGGTGCTCCAGCGTGATCGTCTTCGCCTCTGTCATCATCACGAAGACGACGATCGTTTTTAGCCAGCTAGCAGCAGCAGCAGCAGCAGCGACGACGACAGAAGAAAACAAAAGTAAGTAAGGTGTGGGCAGGTGGGCGGGGCGTACCATCGGCGTAGGAGCACTTCTTGAAGGCCGTGCCGCAGAGGAAGGCCGTCCAGGCATGCTGACAGGTCTGTGACTGGAACATCTTCGCCTGGTCTGTATTGTAGCACCTCGCAAGGCACGTGTAAGTGCGTGCCATTACATTATCATCCGACATACGCGTGTGCGGTGTGTGCGTGTGCGGTGTGTGCGTGTGCGGTCGGGTGAAGCAAGAGGGAAAGAAGGAGAGAACAACGCACCGAGGGCAGGACGTAGGCTCTCGGCCACCTGCTGTTGCGTCACGTTGCCCGTCACGCACACGCGGTGGGTTATGTAGGGGATGCACTCGATCGGCTGCTTGGCAAACGAGACACACTGGTGTACAGGCCGGCATGCAACAGCAATCGTCTGTGAGGCGCATGAACTGGCCAGCGGCTCGCTCGCCCCCCCCCTGATATTTGCCCGCTACTTGCAAGAAAAGAGGGATTTGCTGGTGATAAAGTACCTTGGAGGAGGCCCCCGCCTCAATGGCGGGGAGCTCCAAGGCGAGGCCATGCAGAAGGATGAAGAAGAGGAGCAACGTCGGCCCTCGATGTGTCATCTGTACAGATTTATCTAGTGTTCTCTTCGTGAATATTGATCGATTTACAGCGATCTCCAATCGCGCTCGATGTGATGCCCCTGGAATAAATAAGTCGAGTCTATGAAATGGGCAATGAGGGACGAGGACTCGATCGAGCTCTGGAGGCGTATTCTCGCAGAAGTGGGGTACCTCTTTTCCTCTGCGCGCTTTTTCTTCTTGAGATTTCCCTGTGTTTCCTTTGGCCCTGCTCGCCGATTTTCATGGAAGGAAATCAAGCGCTCGACCAATCGCAGGCTTCTTGTCCCGGTTGCGGCGGAAGTGCCTTGGTCCCCATCCTCCATCCTCGCCCACATCAAACGTTGGGCGTGAATCGTGTGGCGCTGGTGGCGTCGAACACAAGTGGGTGGCCATTGCGGAGGATGCCCACAGAGATGAGCGAGCGGGCGGGGTCGAGCTGTGCGGCTCCGGGGCCGGCGTGCCGGAGCGAGAAGCGGAGGCTCGCCGTGTCGGCATTCACCGCGCCGCCCCCGCGAGACCGCACAGCGGCCTCGGCGGCCACCCGGACTGCGTCGACCGTGCCGAGCCGTGGCACCCGCACCACCACCTCGTGGTACCGGCTCCACGCCTGGCCCCGCAGCACCACCTCCACCTCTTCAATGGCGCACCACCACCAGTAGTAAGGCACTGATCAGCGGATGGCATGATGATGATTGTGTTGACGTTGAGGAGGAGTGGTCACGTGCGGTACCGGTGGTCTTGCGGCGTATGAAGTAGTCTCGCCACCCCTGGTGCTGGTTGTGGCGAGGCTTCAACATGGCCGCGTCCTCTCCGTATTCTCGCGCTACCATGCCCCGCCACAAGCTGTCCCTCTCATTTTAAAAAGATTGAAACTGAGGAGAAGAGGGAAAGGGAGGGGGAGGGGGGAACCTGTCGTCGTCACTCAGCCGCCGCCACCTCTGGCAGACGGTGCGTAGGGAGAGACACGTGCGCCACGGCAAAAAGCCGAAGATGACCGCCACCACCTCTTCCGGCACCTCCCACCCTCCAAACGTCTGCTGTTCCATTTGGCTCTTCTTCTGCAGTGTTCAACTCCGTGTTTGAATTTGTTTTTGTTTTCAAATATAATAATATAAAAATTTGATTATTTTGTGCTCTGCGCGGTCAGATGGTGAGGAGCACAGATGAAGTGCTCGCTACGGGCGGGGTGTAGGTGACGTTGGTGGTCACTGCGAGGAAGCCCTGGCTGGAGTTCAGGGTGACCGCATTCAGGGACACGCCGTCGACGACGGGGATCTTGATGCCCTGCTCGAGGCCATAGTTGGCGAGCGGCTTCATGAGGTAGGTGCACAGGACCGGCGCGATCCAGCTCAGGTCGATCGTGAGGGGTCCAATGTTCGACCACTTTTGGAAGAATGGTGAGTCGAGAACCAACAAACAGAAGAGAAAGAAATGTGGGCTGGGGTTGCATACCAACAGGTGGAGTGAGCAGTTGAGGTTAACCAGATCTCCAGAGATGGTGGTGCCGACCACCTTCGCCTGTAACCCCACGCGCGCGCATTCCAAGCATTCCTAAGGCGCTACGCACTGATGAGAAGGCGTGGTGGCGGCGTACGGTGGCGTTGGCGGTGACGGTGAGCCCAAAGGCAAAGAGCGGGATGAGGTTGTTCGTGTAGGGGACCGCCGACACGGTGAACTGCACCGGCGCCGTGGCGTCGATGCCCAGCGGCTGGAAGGCGATCGATGGCGGGCTGGAGGCTTGCGCCTGCATCACCATCAGCATGTCCGGGTACATCGCCAGCGCCGGAATGATCGCTGCCGATCATTGTGCGCCCACCCCAACAACACCTTATCAGGAACTGGAAATCCAACCAACCAAACCAACCAAAGCTGAGTGCAGCAGCCGTACGTGTCCAGAAGGTCGTGTTCAACCTAATCGGCACCCACGAAGGAATGTCCTGAGCCAACCCCCAATATTAGGTTAAAAAATTCGCTTAAACACGACACATGACATATGACACGAGACGAGACGCACGACAAACAATAAAAGCGGCACGCGCACGACACACGACGATCAAGAAGAGAGTAGACGACGGCACCTTGTCCTGGAGCTCGGCCTGGAGATAGCCGCCCGTGTAGAGGGCGTAGAGCGCGGAGTTGGGCACGTATGAGTCGACAAATACCTGGAGCATCTCGCCGTCGGTGGTGTCCGGGAGGGGATCGGGCAGCAGCGGGCACTCGGGCTTGTCGGGCAGGAGGTAGACCTCGGCGCGCGAGTTGACCGTGAGGTAGCCTTGGCCGAGCGTGGGCGGCGCGACGAACGAGTAGTCCAGCTCCAAGATGCCCAGAATGTCCTGCTGCATCGGGAGCGTGTGCAGCGCCTGATTGACATTCTATACAAGCATATAGGCACAAAAACACCTGGTTAGCCGAGACGCGTGTGTCGTGTCGTTGGTCGTTGGTCGTTGGTCGTGTCGTGTCGTCGTGCGTACGTTGTTGATGATGTTGGCGATGGCCGGACCCACGGCGTTCTGGACGGCATTCTTGATGATACCGCTCAGCACATTCAAGACGAAGTCGATGAGCCAGCTGCAATTGCGGCGGCGGTGTCAGTCACTGAGTCTTGGTGGTCAGGCCTTCCACGGTAGAAGAAGATGGAAGCGAAGAGGCGGCAGGTGCACCTGGGTCCGCCGGACTCCTGGACGGAGAGGGAGCCGATGCTGCAGGACGTGGACAGGTCGGAGACGGTGAGCTGGCGGTCGCTGTTCTCGCCCAGCTGGAGGAGGATGGGGATCGTCGTGCCCGACATTCCGATCGTGAGGCTGCCGCCCCCGTTAATGTGCGGCCAGTTTTCCTGGCGGTAGCCAAAGTTCATGTTGGCCGTCAACGACGCACCGTTGCTGTGCAACCACAACATTCGTACATTGTGTGCTTAGTACATATATACAATAACAGAAGAAAACTGATAGGAGAATAAAACGTACATGGTAACGGCGATGCCAGTGCTGGGTTGGATGGCGATGGTCGACGAACTCGAAATGGAGAGTCCGGAGAGGACGATGGAGGTGAGGCTCCAGTCGATCGTGCCCAGTATGGACGCTGGTGCGGATCCACTCTGGTCGGGCACATCGATGGTCTGAAACTGCTTCTGCACCAGCTGCAGCGTCACTTCCTTCGCGTAGTCGAGGCCTGACCGAAAAGATGTTGATTTTTCAACATATAATAGAAACCTTTAAATATATTATATATTATATCTCTTATTGTCTGATTTTCCATAGCAATACTGATCAGAAATGACGGTGCTTCGTACCGCCTTGTGTGAGCGTGACTTTGAGGCCTGGAAGCGTCTGGTTGCTGGAAAACCGAGCCGAAGAGGACGTGACCAGGAGCAGTGTCGCCACGACCAGGCACAGGGTGGCGCTCCTCATCTTCTTTGTTCGTCGTTTTTCTTGAAGCGATTGTCGCGAAAGAAGCAGCCTTGAAAAGGAAAATTGCCTTTCAAAAATCGTCAAGCTTGATGTATGACCGAACGAACCAACTGGCTGTGACCGTGGGCAATCAACGATGGTGAAGTGTCCATACTATGTACATACTATGTGACGGTCTCATTTCGCGGTCATGAGAGAGGGAAAGTAGTAGCGTCGCTCCCTCTCCTCCGCTTGATCGTCGATCCATGCCATGCCCTCCTGCAGCAGCAGGTCCTGTACGAAGCGAATGCACGTGCGTGTGCGGTGCGTGTGTGTGGCAGTGGTACGTGTGCGTGCGCGAGCGGTGTAAACGAACACGTTCTGCCAGGGATGCACACCACACACCAAGAGGGGCGAGTTCTCGGCGTACCAGAGCCGTGGCTATTCGCTGGGGGTTCCATCCGAGCTTCCGTTGCACCAAAGACGAAGTCACGAAGTTGGTGCCCTGCCATAGAGGAGCGTTGGGAAAAGAATGAAAAGACACAACTATCACATCAGTTCCCTTCTTTTCAGGTTTAACAAAACAGAGGGAGAGCTGGACTGCGTTGCGACTCGTACCTGCGCCAGAGCCAAGACGGCCGTGTGATCGCTGTTGAGCTCACAAGGCACAGATTGCACCTGCGTGCATGTGCGGGTCGAGGAGTGAGTGGACCGATTGCTGAATGGAAATGATAAAATAACAATAATAATGGCAAAACGAAGAAGAGAAGAGCACCATCTTGGTGGAACCGACGGTGAAGATGTCGAATCCCTCGCCCAGCTCTTTCAGCTTCTTGATCGCCCGCTCAATGTCGTCACTGCCGAGTAATCGCGATATATCTCAGTGTGAGTGCAGATTATATACAGCACCGCGTGGGAAGGCCGTACTCAGAGATGCCGCCTTCGCCCTTGCGCTTCTTTTCGAGGTGGCGCTTGAGCTCGCTGAGCTCGATCAGCCCACCGTTCGACCCTCGCGTTCGCAGACACACCTAACCGGCGGCCACGACCCAATTACACACCTAACTCCGCAATCGCAAACAATAGCAGAGAGACGTACCTCGACGATCTGCACGGCGAGATGATAGTAGAAGTCGCCCACGCCCAGCAGCTCTGACCAGAACCCCTTCTTAGCTGTGTGTCGTGCGTGCCGTGCGTGTCGTGCCGTGCGTGTGGCGTATCGAGAAGACGTGGAGTCAGTCCACGGAAAATTACGAAACCACGTTGGCGGTGTGGTGTTGTACAGGCAAGCGGATCGACGCCGATAGACTGGCACATGATCTGAAACTGTCGCCGAAACTCGGGGTTCTTGTTGATGTCCTTCTTGTACTTGAGCGCAAACGCCTGGCAACAATTTTTCCTATACATCAGGCCCCACTCGCCGACACACGGCACCTCGCACCACTCGCACGCGCACGCCCCGGAGGCATCTGGACAAGGGGAGTACCTCGAGGTTGCGCTTGAAGACGTCGAGCTGCTCCTCCATGTGGCTTAGGTCAAGGACAGCAGACCGACAATAAATAAATAAATAAAAAGTAGTAGATTATTAGCAAGAAGGAGGGACGGCAGGATATTTGCTTGACACGAATGGCCTCAAGTTCGGTGCCGGCCTTCTTGAAGTTCTGCTGGTGCTGTGCCTGCTTGGTTAGGCCAGCAATGCCCACCGCCCTCCGTCTGTGCGCCATCTTTGTCTAACAATAGAAATATAAAATGAACAAAGAAAAAGAAAAAGAAAACTGCGCCAATCGAGAGTATCCACAAAACAAGCCCCCAAGCAAGACAAATTTTAAAGGAAATGCTGTTGATTTGTGAAAAAAAAACAATAAAAAGCAAGAGAGAGATGGCAAGTGACTGGCGGCAGTGGAGGTCCAAGGTGCTGCAGGGTTGGGAAGTGGAAGAGATATTAGGCGACGCCATCGTGGAAGGTGGGGCGGGTTCGTCGCTCTTGAGCCTGCCTCCCGAGGTGCTGCTTCCCCTGGTGCTGGGCCGCCTCAGCCCTCGAGAACTACTTCTCAACGTAGCCCTCGTCTCTCGCGCCTTCTGCCTCCTTGCTCATGGTATTATCGCCCCCCCCCCAGACACTACTTTTGTTTTTAGTCATTTATTTCGTATTTATTTCATATTTATTTATATATTATTTGGTATTTCTACATTTCTACATCAAGTGTAAAATATACACCTGCCATTGTTGGCCAGACGACTTCTTGTGGAAGGCGCACTACAGCCAGCGCTACAAGATGTTCGAGTTCCAGCTTGATGCACATCAAGGCAATGAAGACGAAGATCCCACCACCACCACAACGACGACGGCACTGCCGTGTTATGACACGTGGAAGGCTTTCTTTGCCTCGCGTGTAGTGGCCCAGCTTCCGTTTCACGGTGCTCGAGTCCCTCCTGTCTGTTTGGTGTTGGCTCAAGCTGGAGAGACGTTGATGATCTTGCACTAGCTGATTTGTGGTGTGCGTGCGTGTGCGTGTGCGTGCGTGCGTGCGTGTGCGGCCTGCAGGAGTACACTTGGAGATATGCAGCGCGGACATTCATCTTTCCGAAGACCAGCTCACGGTTCACCTGGACGTGGATCACACAGGAGACTTTAACATTGTGGTACATGGCCGCCAACTCCTCCACACTTCGCGCAAACACAAACGCAAACACAAACACAAACGTAAACGCGGTTTTTCGTACGATGCAGGTGGTGCAGGCGAATGGGCCGCTCTTGCCGTTCCCGGGCATACCGGGCGGACAGCGCGTGGGCTACTTCGAGGTCAGCTTCAACAACGCCGGCCCGAGCCGAGTCGCTTCCGTGGGCTTGGCGATCCCGCAATACGCACAGCACCACCTCGGCTGGGTTAAAGGGTGCGTTTGGGAACCAAAGAGGCTGTGCGTGTGCGGCCGTGTCTGTCTGATGGTCGTTGCGGGCAGGTCGTTCGGCTACCACGGAGACGACGGCTTCCGCTTCACCAACGACAACCACCTGCTCTACGCCTGCCAGGGCCGCAAGTACTACGCGGGCTACGGCGACGGCGATGTCGTTGGCTGCGGGTACAACCTGGACAAGAACGAGATCTTCTACACCCAGAACGGCCACTACTTGGGTACCACACTCAAACATTCTTTGGATTCCGCGGAATACTGACAAGCAACACACTTATATTTTCAACACTAAAATGACGACAATGGTGATGATTGATGCACAGGCCCGGCGTTCACGTTCACGCCAGAGGAGGCGGCCGAGTACAGGTCGGCCGATGATGATGATAACGGCGAGCTGGTCTTGCGACCCAGCGTCGGCCTGGCCCGGGCGCACCAGGACGTGACGTTCAACTTTGGCAAGCGGCCGTTCGTTTTCAACATCGACGCCTACATCCTCGACTTCCAGGTCCCGCCCAGCAGCTTACACAGTGATGTGTTGGTGGCGTGCCACGTCAGCTGACTGTCCCCCCCCTCCCAATGTTTGTGGAGAACAGGTGCCTGAAGCGCCTCCATTCGAGGCCACTCGGCGCGAGTACGGCGGTCGCCACCTGTCCATGTTCTCGAGACGCGACGACATAGCCACGAGCGGGCCAGACAGCCCACCCCACGACAACGAGTATTGAGTGTGCTGGTCCTCACCCCCGCCGCCGCTGTCTAAGGCATAACCACGATACCTCTGAAAGGCGCGATACAAGCAAGATCACGTGATTAGAATAAGTAATTTGATCAGCGCACACAGCGCACACGACACGACACACGAGAGCATTCGTACGAATGTCCAGCACTCAACGCTTGTCTACAAAGTCTCCTTGTTTTAAAACAAAACTCTTTGGGAAATGGGCGCCACACCTCTAGAGGGCAAGCCCGGTGCCGGAGCACTGGCAGGGCTGGTAGTGGAGGGAGCTGATGTCGCACTTGCCAAAGGCCGACAGGCCGCCCATGCCCTCGCACTGCTGGCACAGGGCCGACCCGGGCCGCAGGACGCCCTTGCCGCAGCACATGGGACACGTGCACAGCATGTGCACGCTCGACGAGTCACAGCCACCAAACACTCCCCAGCTGCCCTTGCCCTATATTTTGGATGGGGGGATTAGCACGACACGACACGACACGACACGACACGACACGACCAACGACACGACACTCACAGGTACGCGCGTACCTGGCACTTGGGACAGCTCATCTTCTCGGTGATCGTAAGCTGGAGCGGCAGGAGGCGTGAGTGCGATGTCGTGCCAGTGTGTGTTCCCGCGTGTGCGACGGCGCGTGCGCGTGTGTCATATCAGGTGGGTGAGGTGGGGAGGGGGCTACCTGCGCCCGCTGCTGCGAGAGGAAGGAAGGCCCGGCTGAAGCTGCAGACACGGCCGTGGGTTCGTCCGATTCAGGCATGAGGCACCGCTTGTCCAGACAGTGAATCACGTCTGGGCCCATCATCCACCAATCGATCATCATCATCGTCAATCGGGGCAGTACAACACACAACACACACAACAACACAACACACACACGAACGAAAGAGGATTGGGGTGGACACGCACTCGTGGGTTTGCCGTAGTGCCCAACTGCCACCATGCAGCCGGGCAGCAGGGCGTACTCTATATAGTGCGAAGAATGCGCGGCATTGGGTAAGCGTGTGCGATGGGTTACAAAAAAAAAAAAACGCGAACCTTTGTCTTGCTCGGCGGGCGCGATGTTGTAGAGGGCGACGTCGAGGTTGCCGCCCGAGCCCTGATCCTTCCACACCACCTTGTCCGAGAGCGTGGCGATCTGCACCAGGCACTGATGAACGCACCTTACCGCGTCCAACGATGGCTTGTTGCGATCTGTGTGTGTCGTGTGTGTGTGTGTCGTGTGTGTGGTGTGTGTGGTGTGTGTCGTGCGATGAGTGTGCCTTGGACGACTGAAAGGAGCCAACATGTGAGAAAGAGGAGGGAGACGGGGCACCTGGAGAGGCAACCGACCCCAGAGCTATGAATCTGTGGTGGCAGACACGCTTAAGGAACGTGCGCCGTGTGCGCGTGCGTGTGTGCGTTGTGTGTGTGCGTGTGTGCGTGTGTACCCTGGTGGAGGGATCGGCATCCAAATGGAGACCGACTGCTTGCACCTCGTCCCGGCATCGCTCCACATGAGTCGATAGTCCACGGGCTATCCAAAGCATGAATAACTTAGCAGCGTAAAAACGTGCACGACACGACACGCACACGACAACACGACACGACACGACACGACACTCACAGTACAAATAGCGAGAGAAGAAGAAGAAGAACCTTGCGCAAGAAGTGCGGGAACTGGGGGTCCTTCTCGGCGACGGCCAACACGGGCAGCTCACCCTCGAGCTTTGGCTGGTCGGCGTGGTACGGGCGCGCCACGTCCCCCAGCGAATAATAACTACGCCAACATAATTATGTTTGCATTTTTTTAAGTATATTAGAAAATAATAAGTAAATTAAATGATAATTCATATTAAAAAGAATTAATCAAGTAAATGGTACCCTTCGTCGGGTAGGGGACGGTAGAGGGCGCCGTCGCAGATGCCCTTGCCGATGCCCCGGTCCTTCCAGAGCAGCTCGAACCGCCGCACCTCGCGCACCTTCAGCACTTGGGGCTGCACCACGGAGTCACAGCAGTCTCAGTTTAGAACCAACCCACCACCTGACTCAAGTGGAACTCACAAGAAGAAGGAGAACAAGGACGTGCCTTGGCGCTTGCACTGTTGAGCCGCATCTTCCTCTTCCTCTTCTTCGTTCTTGTTTTTTTTTTTGGTTTAATTTAACATTTCTTTCTTCGTTTCCTTTTGCCATTCTCTCTTTTTAAAAGGAAAAAGAAAAAGAAGAATGAGAAATTAGGACTCAGACGCGAACGAGGGTGGAGGGCGCGGGGAGGGCCGCTTCGGCGGCGGCGCTGATGGCCTTCTTGAAGGCCGCCCTGGCCCGTCGGTCCACCTCCTCCTTCCACTCCTTCTCCGCCCGCCGCTCCACTCCCTTCTGCTTACGCCGCTCCGCGCTCGCAGCCCTCTTGCTCACGACATCGACATCGGCGGGCGGCTGATGATTGTTGGTGTGCCGTGGTCGCAGGGTCTCGACGGCGGCGCTGTTCTTGAGAAGCCAGGCGGCCTCGAATTCAGCGAAGAGGTGCGGGTCGCTGTAGAGGGCTGACTCGACGGCCATCTTGCGCGTGTAGTGGGCCACCATGAAGCTGTCCACCACATCGTAGTTCTTCTCCGACAAACGACCCGTCCTGCAGGTGTAGCATGACAACACTGTAAATCGTGTGTTGCCGTGTGTGTGTGTGATCGTGTGCGTGGTGTGTGTGTGTGTGTTGTCGTTGGCTGTGTAAGTGCACTTTTTGATGATCCACGGGTGATCGGAGGGGAAGAGGTTCTTCACGCGGTGGAAACCCAGATCTTTGATCTTGTCCTCGGCCGATCGTTTGCGAATGCCGAAGTAGGTCCTCGCCTTGGGGGGGGGGAGAAGCGACGTTATAACGCTATAACGTTCTAACAGCCAGCTGGCACAGGGATCTGTGGGTGTGCGGGTACCTGGCTGGGGTGCACTTTGAATGGCCGTCGGGTGCCGAACGTCATGTAGCTCGCCTCGTCGTCTTCGTTGGCTTCATCATCATTCTTTTCAACGAACACACACACAATTTGGTTGTGAGCTCAGCGAACAACGATTGAGGTGGAATGGAATGTGTGAGTCGGAGAAGGGGGAACACCTCGGGCGGCAGGTGTTGCAGCGCAAACTCGTCGTCGGCTTCTCCAAACTCCAGCGTGGGTGGCGAGTGCTCTTGGTGGTGGCAAAAGAAGAGGTGCCAGCACTCGTAGGAGACCAGGGAGTTGAGGCAGGCCAGCTTCATGATGTCGCTCGTGCGCCACTGGGCACCGCCGAAGCTCTTGAGGAAGTCCTCGATGCCCACCACCCACGTCGTCGCCTCCTTGTCGTCGCCCTTCTTGGCCGCGTGGATGGCCGCCAGCCGACGACGCAGGAAGGTCACCTTGTCGAACAGGTCGGGGATGGCCTTCGTCTCGATCACGCCACACTCCGCCATCTCTCCTGCCATCACCACGTTACGTTTTGTTTTTTAAAATCAATCTCACTATTAATTTTATTTATTTATTTGTTGGTGTTTTATGTAAAAATGTACAATAAAAACAGGAAAAAAATAAATAAAATGGAAAATTATGTAGCGCACCGGTGGGAGCGTGAAGGACGGTGAAGCCGGTGCTGTTGGTGTTGATGTCGAGCCCCAGCACCCACTCGGCCGATCGCTCTGCGGTGAGCAGGCAGCGCTCCCTCGTCACGACGCCCAGGCCCAGCTCGGCCGAGCGCCAGACCTTATTCTGTGTTGCGTGCTGCTTGCCTTCCGCGAGGTGGCTGCTGTCGTCTGCTTCTTCTCCATCTTGAGGCCGAGCTACGCGCGTAGTGCGTCGAGAGGGTTTCTTGGCCTTCTCCCCTCGTTCCGTTTCATCTGTAGCGGTGGCGTGCGGGGAGGCCGAGACGAAATAGGGGCGAGTAGCGCCTCTTGTCCCTATTTGGCTACTGACAAACGGCGCAGGCAGCCGGGAGGAGAAGCCACTCCATCTATGGCCAGCACTGCTTCTGGCAGCAGCCATTTGATTGAGCTTCATCTAATTCAATGCTAAATTGGAAATCAAAAAGTCATAAAAATAAACCAAAAAGCCCGAAAACAATAATGGCGAGGGTGTACAGATAAGACAGTGGTTGTATTATTTGGCAAACAAGGCCCCATGGAGCAACGCAAAGGTGGGGTGCTGACATTTAGCAGCAGTGGCCGACCTTGCGGAACTCGAAGGTCTCCCACTCCTTGGGGGCGGCGCGGTCGGCGATGACCTTGCCGCTGGGCTCGACGCACAGGTACTTGCCGTGGTGGGTCTTGAACTGCACCTTCTTGTTGCCCAGCTTGTGGACGTGGAAGGTCTCCCACTCCTTGGGGGTGTCGCGGTTGGCCACGACGGTGCCGTTGGTCTCGGCCGAGAGGTACTTGCCGTGGGCCGACTTCAGGTAGACCTTGCCGCCACCGAGCTTGATGACCTCCCAGTGCTCCCAGGCATCGGCCGAGTCGCGGTTGCCCACAATGGTGTGCGAGGGCTCGCTGCAGATGTACTTGCCGTGGTGAGTCTTGATGGTGAACTTCTTGGGCATGTTGAGGAGGTGGTGCTGGTGGTTTTAGTTGGAGACAACATCTCTGTACGCTGGGTTGGCTTTTGTAGCTGGCCCGTTGCCCGACAAGCTGTGAGAAGGGGGTCCAATCGAAATCAAAGTTGGGCACACACCAATGGCGACATAAACGGAGGGAGAAACAGCCTCAGCCGTTTCACTTCGTTTTCGGGCCGCCAGCCACTCACCACGCACCAGCTCAACCTCTCGGTGTTTATCTTTTCTTTTTTAATTTCCCGAGCACTAATGTGTTTTTTTATGCAATTTCATTTTCAGCAACACTGGTCGCGGGCTGCGCAGATGAAGAAGATCGCCCACTTTGGCACGCTTGTGTCCTTCCTCTTGCTCGTGGTGCTCGCGTTGTCGGCGCCAGTGCGAGGGCAGTCGGCGGGTCTGAAGGTTATCAACGCTCTGCCGCCTCCCATCTTGGACTTCAGCTCTTCCTTCATAGATGCGCTGGTCGACGGCAACCTCTTCTTCTCGAAGGTGGAGTACCTCTTCGGCTCCTCCAACGGCACTCATGGACCCTATCGCCCACTCGATGCACCCGGCACCTACAACGTCTCATTTCGCTACACCAATCATCCAGAGCGAGGAATCATCGCCTCTACTCAGCTGCAGATCACCCAGCCCGGCACCTACCACACCGTCGTCATCTTCGGACGTAATACAGTCGACTTCCCCCTACAGACAGCCCATCTCGTTGACCAATCTGTCGGCAAGCGTGCAATCTCTCGACCAAGCGAAGAAGGAGTGACTTCGAGACATCGCAAGGGGTTCGAGACATCTATCATGGAGGAGGACGAGGAGGAGACAAACAGGAAGGTGGGCAGTGGGAAGGGTTTGACGTCGATACGCTACTTCAATGCGGGCATCTCGTTGGGGCCTACTACGGTCAAGATGAATGGAAAGGACCTGTTCGCGTCGACACCCTACGGCCAGGCCTGGAATGGTGGTCAGTACGTCGAGTTCGATACAGGAGCTAAGGGTGGCTACTTCATGTTCGAGGTGGTAGATGCACGATATGAAGAGATTCAGATCACCTTTGACAAGCTCTTCCTTTCCAACGGCTGCGCATTCACCATCTTCTCGACAGGCGTGTTGGGGAACTACTACAGCCCCTACATCGTCGTCCACACCAAGGACCTGTGCTAAACGTTCTTCCTTCTCTTTGCTGTACAAGATTGTAAAATAATGCAAACAATAACTTTTCAATCATCGAGATTTTCAATTTTACTTGAACTTCGCGTTGTCGCGTTTTCTCTACACCGCGTGTCCACGGTGGTGCGAAGATGGTTATCTCGAGGCCCTTACTTGGGCTATGGTACAGCAAATATGGTCAGACTGTGGCGATCGCCGCGGGCTCGTTACCGCTTCCGTCCTTCACTTCAAATCTTCCTCCACATCGTTCGTCCTCGGCTATGTACATCTCTTCAACAATCTTTGTCTCTCGGTCGTCCCTCTCGCCGGTCTTGCCGCCTTGCTTGCTTCAGTAGGTGTCGAAGAACGACAGCATCCAGTTCACGATTCGGTCGTACTCGCCGCTCCTGATCTTCGTCACGTTCGGCTTCGCCGCGGCCGCGGCCCCCTTCTTCTTGTCCGCAGCGCCGCTCGACACGAAGCTCACCACGCCCAGCTCGCCCGGCACCTCCACCTCGACCAGTCGTCCGTACTTCATCTTCTATCTCGTGTTTGGCTGTGTGTTGTTGTGTGTTGTGGGCCGAGGTTGTTGAGGAAAGGAGTTGTAGTTACTTGCTCGGTCCGTGCGTTGCGTTCTGTTGTGTTCCCCGTTTCGTTGTGTGCCGTCGAAAATGGAGGCGAGGGCACGAGCTTTTGGCCGTATTTCGCCCGCCTTGGCTACGAACCGGCACGCGTTCGAACCCATTGGGCGGATTTCCAGCGAAGCGCAGAATAAATGATGAGAAATACTCCATTTCCCCAAAACTGGAATGAAGAAACGCTGAGAAAAGAAGAGAGGAAATCGAACTGTACAAACGGACCAATGGCGCTAGCACCTCGTCGGCGCCTTTCCATTAGACCGCGTTTACCACTTCCACGAAGTAGCTCGTGGTCACCACACCGCAGAATGCCGCGTTCGAAGAACTCCACGGCCGCAAAGTTCGTTGCACACAGGTGGTCGGTACAAGTTCAAAAATTGAAATTATTTGCTAATTGTCAAGAGGCAGCTTGACCACTTCAAGCTTACTTGTAGAGGGCAAAGTGGTCCTTGACGCGGGTGTCGACGTCGCTGATGAACTCCATCTCGAGGCGCGAGCGCGTGACGGCGAGACGTGTGTAGCCGTGCTCCTGGTCGTTCACCACACGCGCCCACGTGGGCTTCTCCAGCTCCAGGTTCGTCGTGAGACTGAAGCCCGCCATGCCTGCGTGTGCGGTGGTGCGTGTGCGTGTGCGTGTGCGGTTGTGCGAGTGTGCGTGCGTTGAGCAAACGATCTTTCTGATCCACCCGTGCACCAACGAACTTACCAATGACGACGTGGGTGGGCGCACGGCCGGACGGAATGCAGGTGCCCTTGTAGACAGGGCAGCTCCTCTGGTACTGCTCACAGAATTGTAAACAATGGTAAATAAATAAATATATAATTGTGACGCAGAGAAGCCACACGAAAGGAGCGATGATGGAGGGCGCATACGGAGTGGTGGTGGCCCCAGAGGGCGAGGTCGACCTGGTACTTGAACAGCAGGTCCTCGACATTGGCCCGGAGCTCGCGCGCAACGGGCTGATCGGCAGCGTCGCCGATGTCACTGTGTTGGATCCATCATCATCACCATCGCCACCACCACAAACAAATCCGTTGAGCCACCGACATCGCCGTCTGTAGGAAAAGTCAGACCAGGCCGTACCCCTGCGAGTCGATGTACATGGGCCGGTGGCCAGAAAAGACCACCCAGGGCGTCTTGACGCGGTCGACCTTCTTCAGATCCTCCTCGAGCCACTTCCACTGCACACTGCCTGCGTGTGCGCGCGCGCAGGCAATGCGCAGTGTTTTCAGTTATATGCACACATGTTGTAAATGTAAACGTAGAGGTACACGCAAAGGCAAACGCAAACGCAAAGGGTTGAGCGTGGGCGTACCGATGCTAAAGTCGTGTTCGGTGGACATGAAGGTGAAGTGGATGAAGCCGTAGTCGAAGCTGTACCACGGCTGATCCCTCGCCGGCGTGGGCATCGGGTAACGAGCCTCATACGCAACACCGCACTCACCTGGCCATCCGACATGCACACGACACGACACACGCAATCAATTCCGATTCTTTTGACAACATTCCAAAAACAAATAAAATAAATAAAATATAAAAACAAAAAGCAAAATAATAAATAAATAAATCATAAAAAACAGGTACCGCCAGAGTCGCTTCCGTTGTAGCGGGAGCCGGAGTTGGGGAAGTCGCGCTCGTGGTTGCCGATGCAGGTCATGTAGGGCAGCCGCGTGGAGATGGCCGACACCTGGTCGTGGAACTCGTCCCACTGCGCGCCGTAGCCCACCGCGTACGCAATGTCGCCTGTGTTGGATGACATAATGTTGGCGTGTGTGCGGTGGTGCGTGCGCGTGTGCGATGGGCCGCGGACTCGACTGCACAGGTGGAGCGTACCAATGTGGAGAAGAAGGTCCATGGGGCGAGCATCCAGATCCTTAGCGATGAGGGTCGTCGTGTTGATGGACGCCAGTTCGCTGTCCCAGTGCTCCGTCGAGTTGTCCTACACATTGTACCACGTTGATGTTACTTTTGTGATATTACACACACACAAACAATATACAAACATATGTTGCTTATTTACATATTTGTATTCTCAATCAAGGGGGCGGTGGGTTGTGTTGTGTACCTGAGTGGTCTTGCCCATGTCACCAAAGGCGAAGAGATGGATCACGCGGTCCGATTGGCCAGGGTGGGGCTCGGACACAAACGAGGCCTCGGCGCTGAAACCGAACGTCGGGTCACCGTAGACGTAGTAGTACCTCGTGTCTGCATCATGAACTACGTGAGCGCGCATGTGCTGTGTGTGCGGTGCGTGTGTGCGGTGTGCGCGTGTGCGCGTGCCGCGCCAATGAAGGAATGTGGGTACCAGGGCGGAGGTTGGAGAGGACCGCGCTGTGGAGGAGGCCGGGGTCGCGCCAGCCCTCCGCGTTGGCAGGGGCGCCGCACATGTGCTCCTTCCTGTAGGTCGACGTGGCGGCGCCCACGCTCTGATCGTAGTTACCTACGACCGCGTGACACGTCAGCATTTAATTTAAAATTAAAAAATTAATAAAATCATACATTATTTTCGAAGTGAGGAACGCACATACCAGGCGAGGTGCCGAACTTGACCTGCGGGCGGACGGCGTCGCGGGTGGTCCACATGACGCGCATCTCGTTCTGGCGGCCGGTCAGCATCAAGCGGCCCTGCATCGGCTCGTTGTAGTTGACGAATGTAACTGCACATGCACAACCGCACACACGCACACACCGCACACACATGCACACACGCACACCAAGGCACACATGTGAGAATACGGCTCGAATGCCAGCGACGAGGTCGTTGGGTTGGGGTTGGGCGCACCGGCGTTGGAGGTGGCGACGAGGGTCGGACGGGTGATGCCGTGCCTGAAGAAGTGGAACGCGTAGTCGGCCCGCATGTTGGTCAGGCGGAATCGAACGCTGCCGGCTCCCGTCGACAGATAATTCGTCGACTACCCGTGCGTGCCATGGTGTTGTTAGCAACACACATGACACACGACACGACACGACCAACGACACGACACGACCAACGACACGCGTACCTCATCAGCAAACTTGTACTTGATGGGTACAGAGGTGGTCACGCTGGCGTTGGCCGGCGAGTAAACGCCGATCCAGTCTCCCGCGCTCGGCGAGTCCACCCCGCGCCACGACACCTTAGGATCGCGGCACGCGATCGAGGCGGAGTTAAAATGTGTGGCACGCGCGCCGCGACGGAAGTGGGAGCAGGTATTGGGGGACATACCACGACCCACTCGCCAGACCTCTGGAGCGTTGCCGGCGTGGCTCCGATGCTGATGGCCTCCACCTTGTGGGCCTTGATCTGCAAAACGTTTTGATTTGGATATATTGTAATTAACAAATAATTGGTAAAGGCCCAAGTAAAGGAGGAAAGGGGGGGAGTGCCTGGTGGACTTGGAGTTTGGATTTGGGCGCCGCGGCATGGCTGCCGTGGGCACTCGCCTGGTGGGCCAGCAGGAGTAGGGTCACCGCCAACCCAACTACAAGGAAGACTCCACTAATCGACCGTGCCATCTCTTCCTCTTGCTGTTGGCGACAAAACAACTCCACAATTTGCGCCCTGCTGCGATTGGGCGTAAAAATGTTGCCGCGGTGGCGCGCCATCTTAATCTCTTATCCCGAATCGGCACAGCCTCTGCTTTATTATTTTATTGGTGAAGGAATAAAATGAATAATAAACCCAAACCCGACCTGGTGGCCAAGCAGTGAGTATGTACATGCCTGCGGGTGTGTATTACTTTTAGGTGTGTCGTGTTGTGATGTGTTTTTTTGTGCGGGCTTGCTCAGTCGAGGAAGGTGGCGGCCACTTCCTCTGATTTTGATTCGAACAGGGTGAACTCGCCCACCATCTTACACTCTCCACCCGCATGCAGATCCAACTGGGGTCCAACGTCGTGTGACATATTGCAGCACGCAACACGCAATGGTGAGCAACCACATCATCATCATCATCATCACCGCGGCGGGGTGGAGGACGTGTCTGTCTGCAGTACCTTGTACTGATAAAAGTAGCCCTCAGCCGTGACAACGTAGATGAGATCGTTCCCCTTGGCGATGCCGCACAGGCTCGGGCACGGCGAGGGCAGCTTCACCTACATCGTCGATGTCACAAAGCACGAGTACGAGTTTAGGACCTCATCACAACACACACACACACACACGCCTGTGGTGGTACCTGGGCGAACGCTCGCACGGGCTGCCAGATGTCAGACACCACCTCGGGAAGATACGATGAAAAGCCCATAAACGACGCCGTCATGCTGCTGCCGCTCGTCGACCTGCACAGCGGCACCGTTAGGAACTCTCTCTCTCTCTCTCTGTGTGTGTGTGTGTGTGTTCGCAAGCGCCTTGTTCGCAATGTGTGTGTGTGTGTGTGTGTGTTCGTGTGTGTGTGTGTGTGTGTGCTTGTGCGTGTGCGGCACGCGGATGACGTGTACGAGGCAGAGGTAGAGGGACACGGGGGGGGGCACGTACGCGGCGGCCTTGTCGACTTGGAAGACGTGCACGGTGCCGGACTCGGAGGAGGCGGCGAGGAGGGAAGAGTCGCGCGAGAAGGCGATGCTAAAGATTCGAGCCGGGTAGCTGCCCCGTCGGAACTCGTACAGCTTCTTCGCCTCCGGGATCGAAAACACGCGGATCACCGTGCCCTGCGCGCCATAGCCGCCATACCCTGCGTCATGCGCATGGCACGACACCGCCGCACAACGCACGAGACGGAATGGCACGCACGCAACACGACCAACGACACGACAACGCAACACGAGACGACACGACACAGAAGCGCGCGCGCGGCTGTACCTTGGTGGAGGAGGTGGCCAAGAGGGTGCCGTCGTCGTTGAAGGCGAGCGTGGAGATGGAGCCCTTATGGGCCTTCTCGATCACGTTCACCGTAGAGAGATTCAATGCATCGAATATCAAAACGTCTCCTGTGGGAATGGCCGTATGAGTGTGTGCGTTGGTCTGTGTATGTGTTGGTGTGTTGGTGTGTTGGTGTGTTGGTGTGTTGGTGTGTGTGGTGTGTGTGGTGTGTGTGGTGTGTGTGAT